CAGGATACCAGCCCCCCCCCCCCAAAAAAAAAAAAGGAAAAAAAAAGGAAAAAAAAAAAGACAACTATCGTTGTAGATGAGTGTGCGTGGCACTCCCCCCACCTCCTTCCCCACCCCATTTTGCCCTTCACTCGATTCCAAATGGACTCAGTAAGTGCGCTCTACAGTAAGCCAGGATAACGCCAGAGTACACAGTCGCGCATATTACGATACGAAACTAGTCAATGGGACAGCGTTAGACTGAATAGCACAGGCCAACAGCGTCAGATTATGAACAGCATAAAAATCGCCGCTCTCGCTTAAGGTGGGTGTGCGTGGCACTTAAGAAACCCCACCCCCCCCCCAACCTCCCCCACCCCTACCTTGCCCTCCCCTTGATTCCAAATGGACTCAAATGGTGCGCTCCACAGTAAGCCTGGATAACGCCAGAGTACACAGTCTCGCAGATTATTATGAGACAAGACGCGTCTTTGGGATAGCATCCGATTGTGGGTAGCTCAGAACAATATCGTCAGATGGCGAACAGCATAAAAGAAGATCAGGACAGCGTGAGGTTGTGAAGAACTCAGGACAACATCATCAGATTGTGAAATACTTAGGGCAACAGCGTCAGATTGTGAATAGCTCAGGGCAATAGACAAAGACTGTGAATTGTTCAGGGCAATGACTAAGATTGTGAATAGTGCAAGGTCTTGCCCTGGAGGGGTTGAGGGAGGAGGGAGGTGATGTTGTTGTTTAGGAATCTATCAATGGCAGAGGAACATTTTGTCCGAAGAGTTGTGAGCCCGGAAAAAGAATCTATTGTTGAGGGTGCCGGGGGAACAAGTAACATCGGGAGGAAGAAACCACTCATGAATATGCAGGCAATTGTGAGGGGCGGCTTTGATTGGCTCGCCGATGTCACCTGCACGATGGGGGGAAGCATCAGTTGATGACCTCATTTGCATAAGAATGAGAAAAAGTTAATTGTTTGGGTTTCACACAGGGAAAAAAAATCTCGCACCACACGTGATTTTCTCAGGATGTGTGTATGGTGTCCGTATAAATGAATTCATTCTGGATTTCAGCGAGGTTGTGTTTGTGTCTGTTTTGGTTTTTAAAAACACCTTTGCACATACCCTAAACATTTAAGAACGACAACAAAAAACATTATTTGTTTGTTTGTTTGTCTGTTTGAGGGAAAAGAAACACATCTACACAATAAAGCTCATTCGGTGCAAGGGAAAAAGTACGAGTAGTACGGACAGAAAGACACGACAGATTGGACAGCAAAGTAACACGGCCTACCAGTGGCACCCTCCAACCCCCCACAAGGGAACAAGCAACCAAGCGCAATAATATATACGGGTACTTTTACTGAAATCAAAACTGTATGTGAAAGTCTTTTATATTGCCTCTTCTTTTGTGACACATCGATTGGGATACGCTTTAGTAATTCTGTAGAAACACACTCAATACAGGTGTTTTACATCCCCATCCACACAATTTAGTATATTTAGGAGGCGGGCTTCAGCCTTGACTATCAGAGTCAACCCGGGTTATTAGGAATATGATTTCTCAGCAGAAAGACCGAGGTAGGATTCTCCCCTAACGAGCAGAAGCAAAACGGGGTCGAAGTAGCCCGCCTCTTAAATGATCTAAATTGTGTCGATGCGGGCATAAAACACTTACAAAGTTATTACAATCTACAATAACGACAGGTCTTGCTTATAAGAGGACATAACATGAAATGTATCATCACTTTGTCTCCTTCTCTTTCCGCTCTCAGATGGTCAAGCGGTCACTGCTGCACGAGGCAGACTTCCGGGGCTCCGACCGGACACTGGTCAGCAGCAGTCTGGACAGCAACAACAGCAGCCGCAGCAACGTGCACACCTCCGCCTCCTCCTCCTCCTACACCGACTCCCGGACAGACATCAACAGCCACGAGAGGGCCAATAACGGGGCCGATGATGATGACGACGACGAGGATGATGACGGGATCAATAAACCGGAAGAGCTGGAGACGGACAAGGGATTGTGGGACAGGAAGTTACATTACGTCATGCTGGGTTTTGGTGTGGTGTTCGGCGTGAGGAACATTCTGGAATTTCCGGCGCTTGCGGTGGAGCACGGAGGGGGTAAGTTCGTGTGAGTGGAGAGTCAGGTGAAATGAAGTGTGGGCTAATCACTTCAGCGTCTTCGGATTACAGAGTGAAGACATCGTTTTACTCACCCCCCCCCCTCCCCCTCACTCCCCCAGATCTCTCACTTTCCCTTTACCTCCGAACTCTTATTCTCACATTACCCCCGATCTCCAACTCTCACTTTTTTTTACTTCCTCTTTTCACATGATGTTGCACTCTGGTATTCTTGTTTGTCTCCCTCTCAATCGCTCTCATCACCCCCAACACCCTCCCTCCTTCACCTCTCTCCCCCTCTCTCTCACCTCCCCCTTCTCTCTGGCCCTGTATTCCCCTCTCGCTCTCCGCTCTCTCACTTCCTCCTTCTCTAAGACCCATTTTCTCCCCTAGTTTCCCTATCCCATTCTTTGCTTGCTTGTCTGTTTGTCTGCTATTTGTTTGTATGTATGTCTACCCACCTTTCTGTCTCACCTATTTTCTTCATCTTTCTCGATCCCACTCTTGCTAATCTCCTTTTTAAAATATCATTTATTCTCAACACAATTTCTTGTCCCTACCCGTTCCTTCCTCTTCCATTGCCCGTTTTATACCCCCCCCCCCTTTCCTCCTCATCTTTTCCCTCCTCCCGCTGTAAATCTAATCAGGGAACTGCCTGTAACTTTCTCGTTCCGTTTCTCTGAGGTAGCGATACGACAAACGGAAACGCACTCACAAGTCTCGCCTTATGAGACATGAACTAGAATACTACAACATAGAGGTTCATTCCACTACGGAATCTTTTTTCTTTTGTCGTTTTCTTGGTCTTATGTAATATTTCTAATAAATTGGGATATCTCAAACGAGACATGAAATAATATTGACACGAATATTACAAAATAGAGGTGTTTTTCCAGGGGTGATGTAAACAGGAAGTTGTTGATTTATTTATTAATGTGCCACGGACTGGTAGAGAATGGGGGTTACAATATTTGTCAGTTTGGCCGGACGACACAAACATACATATCAATTTTATTTCCGAATTTTAACTGTTAATAATAAATAGCTGTTGTATAGCTCAAATTCTCCCTCAGTACCAAGCTGAATGTGCTTTACAATCTATATATTATCATCACCCCAGCAGGCCCGATAGCATTCTGAAAGAATCTCAACTTGTTGGGAAGCATTCAGTGCAAGCTTCCATTTAACAAGCGCTAAAATACCAAAGTACAGACACGATCTTTCACTCTATGGCCGGGTACTCATTTACACTTGGATTAAGTGGGGGAAAATCGTCTTGTGTGTCCTTCCCCAGTATATAATGCTGGGCTAAATTGAACCTCAACCATTCGAACCCGCAGTGTCACAATTACGAGTCCGGTATCCTAACCACTAGACTGCCGACACCTGCTCTCTTCTTTTATCGTTTTCTTTGCCTTCTGTTGTTCTACTTATACTTTCAAGTGTCTCGTTTATTCTTATTCTATAACGCTGCACTGGGGATTCGAACCAAGATCATTCACACCATGGCACAACACAATCCCAACTGAGTTAAGCGAGTAACATTTTTTCGCAGATAATAATGATAGATATACAGCATTTGTTGTATGGCGCATGTTCCCGCTCAACAGCAAGCTCTGTGCGCTTTACAATCTATAATATTATTACCCCAGCAGATCCCAGAACACTCAGAAACATTCGCAGCTTTCCGGGTAAAAAACGTACAATGCAAAATAGTCAATCAAGCGCTTATTCAATAACAGACTGACAAGGTCTTTCGCTGCCTGTAAAAGGGTATCCATTCCAACGTGGGTGAAGAGAGGATAATTTGTGTAATGTGTCTTTTCCTAGAGCATAACGTCGGACCTTTTATGGGGTTTGAACCCACGACTTTTCGGCTTCGAGCCCAACAGTCTAACAACCAGACCATAAATGCAAAAAAGGCCATCTTTACATTGTTCTACAATTGTAGGCTGCAATGTCACATCAGTAGAAGCGTTGAATAAAATAACAACGAAGATAACGACAGAAAAATCAACGAACAGCAATAACAAATATAACACTAACTAAAACAACAGCAGTAGTAAAACATTAACAGCAACAACAACACCACCAACAACAATGATAACAACAACAACAACAACAACGTCAACAAAAACTGTAGCTGAAACAACAACTAAAACAACAAAACAATAACAGTAATAATAGTAACACAATCTACAACAGTAACAACAACAACAACAACAACAACAACAACAACAACAACAACAACAACAACAACAACAACAACAATAACAACGCCAGCAACAGTAATGTCCACTTTTGAGAGGCAACTGAATGACAGAAGCCCATCACCCTCCCCTCCCTTTCTCGTCCTCCTCTGCCACCTTTCATCTCCTGCCTCCTCCCTGATTCTTCCCCCTATCCCCTTTTGCTCCCTATTTCATCCCTCCCTCACTTTTCTCCCCCCCCCCTAATTTTTCTCCTACTCCCGCTGCCTTCTCCCCTCCCCACTCGCCTTATCACCCCCAACCCCCTTTTCTCTCCACTTTTCTATTCAACTCCTTTTCACCACCACCATCATCTCCCCACTCCTTTTTCTTCCTCTCCCAGCCCATTCTCTCTCCTCCTCCACTTTTCTCTCATCACCCCACCCCTTCATCTCCACTCTCCACTGCCCTTTTCTCTTCTATACCACCTTTCTCTCCCTTGCCCCTTTTCTCTCACTCTCCTCCCCTTTTCTGTCACCTCTCCACCCCTTTCTTTTCACCTTTTATCCCCCTCCCTTTTCCACCCCCCCTTTCGCTCCTTTTAACCTCTTTCTCCCCCCCCCAACCCAAATTATCCCTCTACAGGAGCGTTCCTGTTCACCTACGTTCTCCTGACCTTCACCGTTGGCCTGCCCATCATCTACTTGGAGGTCAGCCTGGGTCAGTACACGAGAGGCGGGGCTATCAAAGCCTGGAGGATTTTACCACTCGCCAAAGGTACGTCATCACCTCTATTTTTAATGTCGGTTATTTCCGTCCCCATCGACACACTTGAAATCATTTGGGAGGTGGGTTTATTCCTTCCTTTCAAGGTCAATCCGGGGTGAGAGGGATACAACGTTCCTACAGACTTACGGAATTACTCGACAAAAAATTATCCCCGCACAGGAATCGAAGGAACATCATCGAGCTCTATTAGAAATATCAATTTTATTGTACAATCTACGCAATTTATTCAGCTCTGTGGTGTAATAGTCAGTCTCTAACACAGAATTCTACACTTATAGAACGGGAACTGTACCACGTGACCTGTGAGGAATTGAAGACCGAAAACAATGGCGTCTTGAGGGCACGATTTATCGTTTTCGGAAGTAACCCTATAGCTTTTAAAGCAAGAGCGGCTTTTACAAACGAGTGAAAAGTGGAACATTTACTGTCCAGTTTGTAATTTTGAGTTACAGAATTCACTGTGCAACTAGAGATTGGAATTAAGGTTTTAAATTGTTGTGTTTTTGGGTGCAACAACAGAAAAAGCAGTCATAGAGAGTTTATAAATATAAGATCTACAGAACTGAAAAAAATTCATAGCACTTCTAGCTTCCCACACACATTTTGCATACGCATATGGCCTACGTAGTTTTTTAGTAGTAAAACTTATTACAAGAAATTTGTTTTACACTGAACATATTTTTTCACTAGATCTTATTAATGTTCTCAAAACATGCGTTCAATAATTAGCTTTATGTCGCCAGCAGAAGTAGAAAAAAGGACGGACTTGCTTTTAAAAGAGATTTAGCTCCAGCTATAAACTTTTTAAAAATCTGTAGAAACCATTGACTGGGATTTTTTTTTCTAATATTGGGCTAGTATTTATTAAAGAATTTTCTTTAAAGAAATTTCTAGAATAATATAGAACCTATAGATGTGTACAAATGTTTGAAAAAAATACTCATCGGTTAAGACGAATTGATATAGATCTAAGTCATTGTGTAAAAGTAGGAGAATCTAGATCTAGGTGTTTGATAGTTCAGTAGCCTAGATATTTGATAATAAGTTGCGCATCAAATTTTTGACTGCATGCTACAGTAGTGAAGATAGCGTATTATTTTCATCCGAAACATTAATTTCCGCATCCATACACCTTTTTGGGCCTTTATAAGCACATGTAGTCCTACTTTAATTATGTTTTTGTTTTTGAAAGCATTTTCAATTCCTTTCACTTTCACTTCCCACGCGCTGGCACATATAATTATGATTATAATTTAAGATTCCAAATCTGACGAATGTATTATTAAATAGCGTATAATGCTGAGTTAGCCAATGCATTGCAATGCGCACTATTATCAATTATTGAATTGTAACAAGACTTCAATTTGATCCGTAACAAGAGGCCACTTATTTTTTTATACGTGTTCATGAATGTGTGTTTGTTTACTGTGTGCGGGGATTAAAAATTAAAGATTAAAGATTTCAGATCTGACGAATGTATTTATAAAATAGCGTAATAGTGCTGGGTTAGCCGATGCTTTGCGATACGCACTTTTATCAATTAATTGAATTGTAACAGGACTTCGATTTGATCCGTAACAAGACAACACTTATTTTTTCTTATACGTGTTCAAAAATGTGTGTTTGTTTACTGTGTGCGGGCATTAAAGATTCCAGGTCTGACGAATGTATTTATTAAATAGCATATAGGCCTATAGGGCAGGGGTGGCCAACGCATTGCGATACGCACTTTTATCAATTAATCGAATTGAAACAGGACTTCAATTTGATCCGTAACAAGAGACCACTTATTTTTTCTTGTTCGTGTTCCAAAATATGTGTTTGTTTACTGTGTGCGGGGATTACAGGGGGACAAGCCCATCCCCTCGACATGTGATCCAGAGTATGGGGATACATTTTTCTCAAAATGCACACAGCTCTGATATCCTTGACCAGTGATCACTCGCCATGGAACTCTTTCTGTTGTGACTGTAGACACAAGTTTCTTCATTATCACATCTGAATGAGCCTCTCATTCATGCATTAGAAATCACACTCCCAACACACAGAACATGACTTTGAACATATATTCAGGAAACATATGCCAGTTCCACTCTTGTTTACTTTGTTTTGCATTATTGGCTTTTATGTGTAAAACAATATTTAGAGGCCTTTTCTGCATTTTTGTGTTTTTGGCAGCATGTACAATAGGCCTATGTATTTTATGTGCAACCGACACATTCTCCAATCGTAGATCTAGTACTAATCAAGACTATATCTAGATACTTTTCCAACAGAGATAATGTTCATAATTAGTGTTATGATCAAGTGTATTGTGATTGTGAAGATCTTTAGTAGATCTAGAGATCTAGATCTATCTAGATCTAGATCCCATCCCATCCCATCATTAAAAAAACAACAACAAACCAACAATACAGATACAAAAACATTGTAACATTGCCAATTATGACATATTGTTGGCAGTAAAAATGTACTAGACTATTTCACTATATTTCCTCTTCGAAGAAAGTTTTAAAATACTGATGTAACTTAATGTAAGGTGTCTTCCAAGCCCTACCACTAGCATCAGCGTGCATAGCAACGCGAAACCTCGCTGTGCGGCGCCGCCAAAGGTGCCCTCAACTGGCCGCCATGTTTTAGTTTCAATTCCTCACAGCGAATCGGCGATCTCGAAGAGGGAGTTCCGCTTCTATAAGTGTAGAATTCTGTGGTCTCTAAGTAGTTGTGCGCAGAAGATGCGAGGTCAGTTCCTGAAAGGCGACTTTCTGAAATCGAGAATCTCACTCTTAGAGCTGGGATGGTGTGTCCCGTTTAACACGGGTTGCGCCCACAAGACTTTGTCGGAGCAGCCCGACTGCCAAATGATCTAAATTGTGTCAAAAAGGGCGTTAACCACATAGTTACTTATATTCTAAACACACTTTGAATTATTCTGATGGTAGGCTGCTTCGACGTCCTCCCGGCCCATCCATCCCACGCTGAGAGGGATACAGTATCCCGACAGACAAACGGAGATTCTCTTTAAAAACAAACTCTCCTATTGGAGAATGAAACTCACTCCGTTTGTGCATAAGGCGAAAAGCCATACATTTGCACCACAAAAGCTGGGCGCATATTTTTACCTACGCAATAGTCACCGATTTTAAATTAGAAAGGTGTACATCAGACATTTTTTTTATTGTTTATATGTCACAGCGGCTTACAAAACAAACACACTGTTTCCACTCCCGGAATCAAACTCACTCTTTTTGTGAGCCATAAATTTGCACCACAAACGTTGAGTATGTAATTTGACTAACATTATAGTCATCGATTAAAACCTACATCAGACTTAAATTAATGCGTATTTCTCACACCGGCTTACAAAACAGATCACACACTTCCCCGCTTGCGGATCGAACCCACGTCTTTTGTGATCAGGGGGACTAATCATACAACTACGCCACCGACCCTGGGTGTATATTTTTACTAACACAATAGTTATCGATTATAAGTTAAAACGACCAACATCAGACCTTATTTATTGAGTATTTCTCAAAGAGGCACACAAAACAGACCACTGAATTCTCCACTGGCGGATCGAACCTTTTGTGTATAAATAAAGGCGAAGAGCCATACATTTGCACCACAGACACTGAGTGTACATTCTTACTAACGCAACAGTCATCGATTATATTGCTAGACAGGCCTACGTCAGATGGTATTTATTGAGTATTTACTTCTCACAGCGGCTCACGAAAAACAGACCAATAGTACTTATCTACATCTCTGTAATGAAGGATAAGTCTAGCGGATGTTAGATTTTGGGTTATATTACTTTCTCCATTAGGGATTCAATAATTGCTTTCCGGAGTTTCGGAAAAAAATGTGTCTATATTATGCGAGGAATGGTATTGCCTATGGGTTAAGAATCCAATAACTCCCCCCCCCTCCACACACACCCGACAAACCTCGAAACAAAACAAGAATACTCCTTTGTTTTAGCAACAGTTCCTTATGCCTATAATTTATTCATCGTAACACATCCTTCCATTATGATGGTGACTACTGTGAAACTAAATGTCTTCCTTCAGATATTTATGTAATTTGAACAACTAATTTTTCATTATGTGAGTACCGGCGTCTGTGGTGGAGCGGTCAGGCGCTTTGCCGTTACACGAAAGGGACCTGAGTTCAATTCTCGAGATTCTTATTAAGCTTCTCAGTCTTTTTGCAGGGATATTGTAACTCTCTTAGCACGGTTGGCTCCGACGGGCAGGATCAAGGCCTGTCTCCTAAATGATCTATTTTGGATGTGTCCATATTAATGGAAAAGACTAAATTAAAAAAGATAACCATCGTATGTGTCATTTCCCTCTTTATATCCTCTGCACAATCTTTGTGTTTAAAAAGAATAAACAAGAAGGTAGACTGTTTGTACCAATTTTTTTTCTTCAAAATGAGCTATCACCTGTTGGATTTTTGTGTGCTCTGTGCAGGCCTCTTAGGCCATCTCACGCAAAAGAGAGTTCGATTCCCAGGATGAGCTTACGTTGTCACTAAGCACCATCTACTTGTCTGCTTACACTATCCCACTTGGCCCAGGCAGCCCTCCTAAAAAATGTCCTAAATTGTATCGATGGGGTATGAAAAATTCTCAATTAGCAAATTTAATCTCGTGACATTAGAGGTTTTCATAAGAAAAAGGAAAATGTCACTATAAAACTGGTGACGAAATTTGACTAGAGAGTAATAAGGAGATTAATAATAGAGTGAGGAAAACCATTGTACTGAAAAGATACCCCCCGCCCCGCTGCCAACAAAACAAACGATTTCAGGGAACATCTTTATTGTCTTTTTATTGAACTTGTGAGGTTAGAGATAACCACAAAAAAAAACAAACGGAAAATGTCAAAGTAACACAGGTGACGAAATTTGATTAGAGGCTAACCAAGAGATTAATACTAAAGTGAGGCGAGCCATAGTGCAAGCTAACACCCCGCCCTCCCCTTTTCCTTTCTTTTACACTCTTCTTCTTTTCAGTTTCCTGACGACTCAGGATACCAGCCCCCCCCCCCCAAAAAAAAAAATGATTCCAGAATATAATTCCGTGGTCCACGGAAACCATCGTTAACATTTTCTTCAAAGATGGTTCTCAGTAACAGCGGGAGGGGAGATGTCTTTCCGATTAGTTTCTTCATGTTATTAACTACTTTAATTGTTGTGAATTTTAGACACGAAGAGGCTTGTTACAAAAAAAGTATTCGTGATTTCAAAGGAAAGTCGTACAAAAAGCAATTTCACATTTAATTCAAAGATCCTTACCAGGAAATGCGGGTTTTAATGGTATGCCCACATACGTAGATATATGATTATACATACATGCATACACTGATTTGTCAACGTCACAGAATAAGTAAAATCACATCCACGCAGACAACCAGCATGCCCTTTCTTGTCGCTACTGAGCACTGCTAGGTTTTTTGAGTTTGGGTTATCTCTACTCTCCTAATGCACTTTCTATTAATAATTTGTCTTTTCACTCACCTCTGGTCCGCCTCTCATAACTGTGTATACGTAATAGCGTTTTCTCTTGCTTCTTTCCACGCTTGTGTTAGAGTCTATATGTCGTGCTTCATTCAGACCCAGACTCTAGTTTTAATAGTTTATAATTATCCTCATCGTAATTGCTTTTTCCAATGGAAATCCCCGACTGAGAACAGCCCACGTTTTTGTTTTCGCCGGTAATCCGCTGGAAGCTGTTTTTCTCCCACACACCTTATCAGGAGATATACATTTTTGTGAAGTGTAGTTTCCCCCCTTTTAATCAACGTTCATTATTACTCTGCATGTGTCTCTTCATTTGTCATCTTGCTTGCTTAATTTTGTTCGTTTGATTTCATTTGTTTGAGTAGAGAGAGCCGCAACCTCGTAAGAGGTGTAGAGGTTAGAAGTCTTGCCGGCGCATACAGAAGACATCACTTCGATTCTCGTGAAGGGAGACTTTATACTGAGTATTTCCATCCTTCTGTCTGGACGTTGTATCTCTCTAAGCCCGGGCATGTTTGAAAGTTATCAAGAATGAAACCAGTAAAGAAAGACAGAGAACATCAAATAATCGAGTAGTTCGGTCCTTTGATGAGAATAAACCCAAGCCAACCAGCTCCACGAGCTTACAACTAAAAACAGTCAGGATGTAAAGGCAAAGGCAGACCATGCAAAATTTGACTCGATGACGTTAAAGAGGACATACAAAGGGATAACACATCAACAACAGAAGCCACCCATGTTATCCTCCTACCTCCCTTCGATTTCTAACTATAAAAGAGGAAGGATAAAGTCAAGTAGCTATATTTTCCACGTTAACTTTTGCGTACCTTCACGTCAGTCATATCCTCCCACACCACCCTGCCTCCCCTCCCCCATCTTCACCTATTCCAGACTTCAGTGGGTGGTTGGAGGGCGCCACCTTCTCACTTTCTTTCCCTGCCTTTCCTTTACCTTTACTCTGTTGTGCTACTCCTGTTCAGCTCTGTACTCAAACTCGAACCAAGAGCTTCCCATGAAATGTTGACGCCACTAAATTTACGTAAAAACAAAATCTAGATCTCGTCTTGGCGCTCTTTTTGTTTCCTTTTCACTCCAGCAAATCATTCACATCTGATGTCGTGGCCTTGAATGCTTCTATTTATTCCATTGCCCTTCAACAAATCATTTTCATTTCATCTCATCGCCGCGGCTGTCCCATTTCTCCTAAGCCTTTCGATGTTGTTCAAATCTTTGTTTCTCCAACTCTCTCCCCCGGGCTTCCTGTTTCGTTTCCGTTTTGTTCCAGTCTTTCGCGATCTTTCTATGTCGCGCGTGTCACCGAGGTTCTGATTAACGAAAATCAAAGCTGAAAACCCGACAGTAGACAGCTCATTACACGAGTCGTCTTCTGACCTGAGCTGTGGCGGGGATCGGGCACGGGGTCGGGTGGGTTGAGTTCGAAAAGAATGGCAAGGGTTAGAGAAGAGAGATTGGGTTCGGAAATTGGGGTGGGGTGGGGGGTGGGGGGAATTACGAGGGGTTGGAGAGTTTGGAAAGGGAGGGGGGTGTCGAAATGGATCCTGAGGTGGGGAGGGGATTGTAAAGGAGAGGGGGTGGGGGTCGATTGATTGTGTTGCAAGTGCTGGGAATCTCTCACTAAAACGAAACCACCCACAAACATACAAATATAGCAGTTTAAAAGTCCAATCTTCTCTCCTAGTTTATATATATCTTCCAACAGGTAACATCATCTGCTCCTCTATAATCTAACCATATCCCCCCTCCCCCGCTCCCCCCAACAGGTATCGGCGTCTGTAGCTGGCTCCTGAGTTTGAGCCGTACCTCCTACACTTACACGCCAGCGGCATGGGCACTCTACCACCTGTATGCAGCCGTCGCGGGTTTGCATCCCCTGCGCTCCAGGCTCTCTCTTGGTAAGAAATTGAAGGGATAAATGAAGTACAACGTATACGTTCCAACAATAAAGATTTTATTTTATTTAAACGTCTAACACCCAGGACAACTTGAAATAATCAGGATACTGCATTTCTGGGGATAATGGAAGACGAAATAGAACTGAATGGAGAGCCATGACCGCTAATGTCTGCTTCAAACGCAGCACTTGAAAGAGAGAGAGAGAGAGAGAGAGAGAGAGAGAGAGAGAGAGAGAGAGAGAGAGAGAGAGAGAGAGAGAAAGAAAGGGAGAGAGAGAGAGAGAGAGAGAAAGAGAGAGAGTGAGAGAGAGAGAGACAGACAGAGAGCGAGACAGACAGACAGACAGACAGAGAGACAGAGGTACAAAGATACAAAGAGACAGAGATGAACAGAGGAAAAAAAAGAGAGAGAGAAAGAGAGAGAGAGAGAGAGAGAGAGAGAGAGAGAGAGAGAGAGAGAGAGAGAGAGAGAGAGAGAGAGAGAGAGAGAGAAAGGGGGCAGGACATTTGTTAGGTTTTTTTTGTTTTTTTTAAATTTTGGCTTGGGTTTTATAGCACGAGTAAATATGCACAGGCCATTTCATAGACGGAGCACTAAGTGGGGAGATTAGAGGAGGTCAGTACGACATGCCAAAGTAGACACCACATATCGTCTACTGAGAGCCAGGAGTAAAAACGTCCATTTTGGCCCAAAAGCCCCTAAAATTTTTAAAAGATAGCAAGACCGAGGTGTTCACGTGAAATTCCATCGTATCTGTAAATACCAAGCAACCAATAGCTTTCCCACAATCGCAATTCCCGTGTGTGTCAATACCCCAGGGTTTATTTATTTAAACATTACAACAAAAAGCTATAAAACAAAACAAAACAACAACAACAAAAACGCAAGGAGTGTTGACATTGTTATCTCAAGCTCCCAGCCAACGATTTGTACTTGAACGCAGGTGTTTGTGGTTGCCATAAGAAGATAAGATAAAAAGTTATTGATCTCCAAAAAGAGAGGGCAAGAATGAATACCTGTTGGTTCTTGCATTTAAAAAAAATAATTTATTTCTAACATTCCATCTTTCGAGTGGATACATCTCCTGCTGGTACGCAGTGCGTCCCTTTGGCAAACCTAACACCTTGTGGGTTTTATGAACCTAAAAGGGAATATAGACATGGATGGCTTGTGCCTCTATCTAATAAGTCAGTATTATTGGTTAAGGGGACCAAGAGAAAGGAATGAAGAAGAACTACCTATTTGATTTTAAACAGCACCTCGGTGTTGCTGGCCAAAGCAAGGCGGCGCCCTGTGTCGTTTCGTGTTGGTCCTTTTTAAAAATCTAGAGTTTGTATTTCGGTCAAGGACAAAACCACAATGACAACCACCCATCTGAGACCCGTTATACCGACATTACTTGAAGCTCTTTATGTACTTGTGTTACGACCCCCCTGTTTATGACTCCTCTGTTTATGACTCTGTGTTTCCCGACTTCCTGATTAGCTCCCTCTACGTCTTCCGACCCTTACCTTTTTCTCGTCATGCAAGTCAGTATTGTAAGGGTTTCTCTATGCTGACGATGAGATAACGATAACGTTAATATCAATAACATTGATTGTCGTCGTCAACGATTAATGTGCTGATACTGTGCTGTTGCTGTCTTGTTGCTGAACTGTTGCTGTGCTGTTGCTGTTGCTGTTGCTGTTCTGTAGCTATGCTGTTGATGTGTTGCCAATGCTTTGATATGTTGTTGCTCAACTGTTGCTGTGCTGTTGATATGTCGTCAATACGTTGCTGATTATGCTGTTGATGTATAACTTTCCTTTCGTCTCACAGAGCAGTTCGTGGAGCAGCACTCCAACAGTTCATCGATTTCCTCCTCAAACCTCACAGCATTTTATCACCTCAAAGCCCTCAACGTCAGCAGCGATTTCTTTTAGTGAGTACAACCTCCATCAATTTCAAACTTAACTTAATTACAAGTGTGCGGTTTTTAAAAAAACCAACGCTCTCATTTAAAAATACAAAACAAAGCTATTTATCCATGCGTGCTACCTTTGACATTGAACATTTTTATGTTCATCTCAATGTTCGACCTCTAACCTCACAGCACCAGATTTAGGAAAAAAAGTATCACATCATGTTAGGAAAGGTGGTTAATTTTTTCTGGGTTGAGGGGGGGGGGAGGGGGGAGTGGAAGGCAGAATTTGCCACAAGGACAGTAAACGAACTGAGCCACCCCTAGGCAACTCAATCAGCGGATATCGATCAGGTCGTTTATCGATCTTCTGTCTCATTCTGAGTCTTTTCTTCCTCTCTGCGTGGTAAAGAACACGTGTAAGGTCTCGCCGGGAATTGCTGGGGAATAAGCCGTGACATTGACAAACACATCAACTGAAACCCATCATCTCTCTCTTACTTGACATACACCTTCTTCTTCGGGTACAGGAACTATAACAGCAGATATTTGGACAGTAGACTTCCAGCAGGACTCCTGTATCCTTATGCCCAGATTGTTTTAGTTGATGAAACAAATACCTATCGGTCTTTCTATGATGGAGGATATAATATATCTAAAAACCTCCCCCTCTCTTTACTTTTATTCTCTCTCTCTCTCTCTCTCTCTCTTTCCTCCTCCTTCTACTCCTCCTCCTGTCTTTCTCTCTCTCTTTATCTCTGTGTCCATCTCTTTATCTCTCTCCTTCTCAGTCTCTCTCTCTTTCTCTCTTTCTCTCTAACTCTCTCCCTCTCTCTCTCTCTCTCTTCTCTTTCTGTATGCATGCGTATGCGCTCGCTCATTGACTTCATCTATCGATCTATCGATCTATCTATATATCTATCTATTTATCTATCTATCTACCTATCTATCTATCTATCTATCTATCTA